GGTCAGTGAGGAAGGCGGGGGTGCGGCAGGGCAGGGCCCTCAGCCCCTGGGCAGAGGACAGGCTGTGCCCGCAGCCCGGGGCGGTCAGTGGGGCAGCAGGTGCCCCCCTGCAGCCCGTGGGGGACCCCAGGCCAGAGCAGGGGCTGTGACCAACGAAGGTCGAGACTCTGAGGGCAGCCGGTCACTGGGAGGAGTGGAGCCCGTGGCAGGGACCCCCGGGGGAGCCATTTGTGAAGAGCTGCAGCAAGTACCCACGTTGGAGAAGTTCACGGAGCACTGTCCGCCGTGGGAGGGAGCCCACGCTGGAGCAGCGCAAGAGTGTGAGGAGTCCTCCCCTGAGGAGGAAGGAGCGGCAGAGACAAGGGGTGATGGACTGACCACAACCCCCATCCCCTGTCCCCCCGACCTGTGCTGCTGGGGGAGAGGTGGTGGAGAAATCGGCAGCAGAGCTGGGCCCAGGAAGAAGGGAGGGGTAGGGGGAAGGTATGCTTAAGATGTGGTTGTGTTTCTCACTGTCCTACTTAGATTTGATTAGTAAATCGGTGGTGGTGATGGTGTTCAAATTAAATGTTTGGGGTTTTTTTTTGTTGTTTTTTTTTTTTTTTCCCCAAGTTGAGCCTGTCTTTTGCTCGTGATGAGCGATCCCTCCCTGCCCTTGCCTAGGTTCCGGAGTCTTTTGTTGTATTTCCTCCTCCCTATCCCCCGGGGGGGGAGCAGTGAGTGAGCCACTGCTTGGTGTTGAGTTACCGTGGTGTTGGTTTACGGTCTGGTCTGGTTTTGTGGCTTGCTTGGGACACTTCTGGTTCTCCAGGCTAGGTTCTTCAATCTGCACTTGATTTGCTTGGGGCAGTATTTAGGGAACAGAGAAGAGTAAACTTGCCTCAAAAGGCTGAAAGGTTTCGGTTAGAGCTGCATCTCTGGTTCTCTTCTAGTGGATTTAGCTTTCTAATGAGGCTGAAATTGTATGAATGTTGGATGAGCTTGCTAGCAGTCATGGTTGCCACCACCATATTTTTGTAATAGTCCTCTAAGTGGTAAATATGTAAATTGCTGAGCACTGCTCTGAGAGTACGGGTGTTAAAAAGCTGGTGTGCTTTTCTTCAACAGCTGGATACGAACATAAGAAAGGACAAGCAGCAGCCTCTGAGGGAGAGGAACATTACAGTCAAAAGAGAGATGGTGTCCTGTTACCTGCACACATCCAGTGCAGTGAGTATTTCTGACCCTCACTGCTGCCTTTGGTGCTGGGATCATCAGGAGGAGGCATGACAGGTCTGCAGTGGCTCCAGCACAGAAACTCCAGCCTGGCTTCTAAATAAAAATTTCAGAAGTTTCTTGAGTTAAAGTATGACCTAAAATGGAGTCCTTCTGAATAAGTCAAAAGAAATGTGCATATTTATTAAATCTTGCTGGCAGTAGTATATAACGCCACAATTATTCATTTGTTTGGTTACTGAAGATTTGCAGGAAGCTTTCAGTGAAGCGATTGATCATGAAGTTATTAAGCCAATCTTAAATGGTGATAAAGATTCAGCTGTTAAGTGTTTCATCATTTAGCCACCTTTAACAGGTTGGTTTTTACAGTTCCATAGTCAACCGAGGTGTTCTGTACCCAGTGATGGCATCTTTTCTTTGAATACAACTTTTTATAATTTCCTGAAAATTCACTTCGTTATTCAGACTAAGGTGTTTACTGCAGAGAAAACCTTGATGCTTTATGAATGCTTCATATGTTCAAAATCTCTTTTTGCAAGAGAGAAAACTCACAGAGAATCAGTACATTATATCTGAAATATATGTCAAAATCTGAAAAATAAAACACAGTCTTGCAGGATTGACCTTATTGCCAATACTGGGCTTTGCTAAAAGCCACTTTCAAAAATAGAAACATTGCTTTCTGTTCTGCTGGCTATTTTGCCCCTGCACCCCTCAAAAAAAGCAAGCTAATTTAATTCAGGTTCTTCTAATTTTGGTTCTTGAAACTCAAATTTCAGGTTTTTAAAAGTTTTTTTAGATATTAAGTACCTTTTATATATTGGGGAAAAAAAAAAAATTGAAAGTCTGATGACAAGCCCACTGGCACACATTTTCATTTGGGTGAAGGCATCTGCTATCCACATGCAAATATCTTGTGCCATAAACCTGGATTAAGCCTTGAGTGCTTCCATACCTTTCAAAACTTTGGCCAGAGATAATTTTTAGAGGCAGGGAAGAAAAAAAAGGTGCCTTGGAACAAGATTTCTGTCTCAAGTATCCTGAAGTTGAGGACTAAGCTATTGGGTGTATCCTCTCTGAAATTTCGCTTGGTGTTTTGAGTCTCTCTGAGCAGTTTGCATTGTGGTGTTGCATTTGAGAGCTAAGTATTTATATGCTACTGGATGAAATATCTGCCTTCTTGACCCTCTTCACTTACTTGACTGTTTTCAACTCACCCACTTCCTCTTCACTCTCTTCCTTATAAACTCTGTTTCAACAGATTACAGCTCAGCCCTTTTGTCCTGCTTTTGAGTCCAGCAGACAGTCCCTGCATTGGGGGTAATCTTTGTTCCTGCAAGTGCTTCCTCTTGCTGCTTCTGCCACCCCATCCCTTGGGCTGTTTTCTTTTTTATGGCAGCTGGTGACATTCACACATCCTCTGTCCTGCAGTTCTTGGGGTTGACTTGCTGTCTTGGGATCCCATCATTTTTTCTCCACAAGATTTCTGGAAGATGCTAAGATTCCCAATTTTAGTGTGATGCTGTGTTCATGAAGACACTGCACCTTTTTTCTTCCTACCCTTGTCTTTTTGTGGTGTAAGTGTGCTCAGTTAATTAAACCTGGCAATCCAATTTCTGGGCCCCCAGTTTCTGAAGGTAGGACAGGGAAATTGAGGTTCCAGGATATGAGTTCTGACTCTTCACTTTGAGATCCATGTAAAAAGTCACAAAGCCCACAAAGTTTTGTGCAGTTTTGTTTTTTGCCCACCTGCCTTCATCAGTGAAGGCACTTTGATTTCCCTCAGTGGCAGAAGGTGACACAGGCAAAGTTAGTGGCAGTTTCCCATAGTGCAGGGCATATGCAATGGAGCTGTGAACTTCAGCGAGGTGCTGCCAAGGCTGGGTGAGGTGAGGGCTAGGAAGCAGGACTTGCAGATACCTGCCCCTGTAGAAGTGAGATCTCTTTGCAGTGGTACTGGAGAAAATATTTTATGTGTCAGAACAGTAGATTTTGGCAGTATGGTTTCATCCTGTTATGGAGGAGGCAGGACGAGAGCTCACTGAACCCCGTGGTGTGTGGAGTACTGGCTGTCTTCTGTGTATTTTTTCTTTGCAGACCTGGCTCCTGACTCCCCAGCTTTACAAATGATCACATGTAGGTTCTTCAGGTGACAGTGCCATAGTGCCTCTTCCCTGGCTCACTGTGCTGGCTGTCCTGGGCTAAACTTCAGCAAATGCCCTGCTGTCGGTGAGCTCTCTGGGATGAGGAAGAGCACAAGAGGAAGCAGAGGCTTAAACGGCAAAGCTGATTCTAAATTTGTTGTTTGCGGAGCAAGGGAGTACAAATACATGGCTGGATGTGGCATGTTCCAGCTATCCAAGGGTGCTGGAAATGTTGTTGAACACATCCTTTCTAAACCTCACACAGCTTCTGCTAGCCCTAGCATCTGCATCAGTAGCCAGGTCTGAAGTGGCTCTGGAGCAATCTGAAGGCTGCTTCTGGCTCATAGTGTCTACAAGATGAGAAAAGCCTCTGCAAGCAGCTCTTTAGTTAGTGTTCTTGTCCCAGGATCCCATTCAGGGTCATGGGTTGGAGATCTGGCACAGCCTATTTTCAAAATGCCCTGTGTATCTCATTCATGGGGCTTGCTGCTTCACACCAAAGATGACTGATGCTACCCGTTTGTGAGCAGAGCAAGGCCTGCCAGCCAGGGGCTTGGGTGATGGTGCTTGGAGTCAGAGAGAGGTTTCAGTTACTGGCTGGAAGTGGAGGTTTGTCTGGGACTTTGTCTCTTAATGTGACTCCTGCATTACAAGTCACAGCTTTTGGGTCCTGTTCAGTAGCTGCTCATGCTGGGTATCATCTCGGGTAGGCAGGTGTTTTTCACTGTTCCAGAAACGTGTATTTTATTTTTTTTTCAGGGTTTGGGGTTCAGTGCATCATTACTTAAAGATTTTCCATGTTTGCTTTCAGGGATGCAGAGCCCATGCTGAGACACACAGGCATAGTGCAGCAACTTCTCTTCCTTTAAAGGAGACAGGCATCATTCCTCATACTTGAGGAAGACCTTCACGTTAAACAGAAACTCATTGGAAGAATACTGGGAGATGGACAAGTACCGGCTTCTTTTCTTGACAGAGAAATTGTTACACATCTTTCATTATTATGGAAAGTACTTTGTGGTTTTCAGGAGGAAAAAAAAAAAAAATAGAGTGATTTGGGCATTTGTGACAATTTAGGACTTGTAGCTATGCTAGTTTTTAACCAAAGCCATAGACTAGCCCAGATCACAGCTGTTGGAAACAGAATATAAGATTGATTTCTCTGAACACACCATGAAGCTCTTTTCTAGCTAAAAAAGGACCATAGTCCTTTCCATAGGTGATTTAAATACCTCACATGGTTAAATAAAAAAGTTAGGAAGAATGTGCCTTTTGGACAGAGTGAAACTTTGCTTACGGTAAGGGTGTGAAGGTGCTGTACTGTGCAGCGTGACACCATCACAGCCACGCTGGAGGCAAAAGAGAACATCCTGTAAAACAGTGACAGACCTGGCTCCGCTCCCTCTTTCAGGTAACCCCGGTGTGAACCCACAGACAGCTCCTGTAAAGAGCCCCTTGGAGCAGCACCACCTGCCTCACAGACCCCAGAGCAGGCACTGGCTGAAACATGTGCAAGTTGCTTATATTTAGTGCCCATTAAAACCCTCGTTACAGCTCTGTCCCAGTGTGCAGGCGCTGCAGCTGCAGTTTGCTGATGTAGGACCTTTCTTCCTCCTCGGTGCAGGGCATGAGCCAGGCAGAGAGCTGGAAGCCAGTGGTGGTGTGTGTCCAGGAGGTGAAAGGGGACATGGCAGCTGCTGGGCTGTTGGGAGTCTCTGTGAGTGTGGTTGAGCAGCGATCCTGTCAGGTGAGGCTGGGAAGGGTGGGACTCTACAAAACTGGGGCTTCCAGTGAGAAAGTGGGAGCTTTGACCTTGGGAACCGCTGTGGCCGAGTAGAGGTGAGGGAGGGTGGGAGCATGTGAAACTGCTTGGGGTTGTGCTGATGATTTTGTCTGTTCCCAACAGCTGTGTGCAGAGCTTTGGTCCCAACAGCTTCATTGCATTTCTGGAGATCTTAAGAGGCTCCAGGAGGAGAAAAACATTCTGCAGGCTGAGGAGCTGATCGAGTGGGCATCATTGCTGAGTGTCTGTCAGTGTCTGAAAAGCCACAAGGCTTATTATTGCTGCTCCATGCTTTTCCTGCCTCTCCTAGCACAGCCCACAGATGTGGAGCTCTGCATCCACCTCTGTTTCAGGTGTTCTTAATCTTCCTGTCTCTTTCCATATTACTGAGTTTGAATTTAACTACTATAATCACACAGGACACACATACTGCAATAACTGACCACCAGATAGTAGTTACACTTTGCCACGTAACTCCTTAGCACTGGTTACTCCTGGGACTGAACTGTAGTGCCTGGAGAACCTGGTTCAGACCTGGACTTTTCTATGGTCTGATGGCAACCCTTTTCCTTTCCATGGATTTGTTCTCCCTGTGTGTTCAGCAGAGTGGCTGTCCTGGTCCCAGGGTGCTAGGAAAATGGATTATGACCACATCAGTGATGCACACCACAACACTGTGGTGAGGCTGGGGAAGGCTGGTCCCTGGTGACCACACATTTTTCATGGGCAGGATTATTACTGTGTCTATGGGGCCTGATTGTGTGAAGATGAAGCAAAATGCCATTTCAGTGTGGTACAGTCAGGGAAGGTGGGGAAATGGAGGATCAGGGCATGTTTCTCATGTGGGGATGAGGCAGTGGTTTGTTTAGGGGTTTAAAAGATCTGAGATGGAAATGGCAGGGGAGGTGTTTGGGACTGAGCTGAGGGATTCTTGTGAGTAGGCAGAGCAATTAATAGCAGTGTGAATGTTGACTGTATTGTAATTGTCTGGTGGTTTCCTGCATAAACAGCTTTTTCTGCTGTCTTTTGGAGGGAAGAGTCAGTTCAGGTAGAACCTGAGTGTGACTGTTGGAGCTGAAGTTATCATAGACTAATCGGAGCGCTCTCTGGATGAGAGAGGGGAGGTGTCTTATTCCAAAAGTTTGTCAGCTTGCTGATTTTCTTCTTCACAGTTCATAAGGTACACTGAGCAGACAAAGGACCATTTGATGCCTGAAGGTTTTTACATTCAGTGAGGCAAAAGACTTGTCCAATGTCTGACAACGCCCTCACACAAGCCACAGCTCCAGCTGCCTGGTGTCTGCCTGGATGTCTCGGGAGGTTGTTGGAAAGGGCAGGGAAAATGCTGGCAGAGGTTTCCTGCTCATTTGTAAATCCTTGCTATCATTACATGGCTTGTTATGCTTTTTCCCCTGCTGTACATTTCCTGTTACTGTCACATCATGTACTTTGTCTGAGACTTACAGAATACTTTACATCTGTTTGTCCAGGCCTGTGAGACTTCAGCTGCTCTGTCCTCTTCCATGGCTTACTCTGTTCCTCTCTGATTATGCCTCTTAACCTGTCTATGAGGGCTTGATGTGCTTCAGTGTTTTTTCTTCTTTCTCTGCATCTGTGGGGTTTTTATTTTTATTCCTGTACACTCGTATGCAGTGGATGCCTGTTTTCCCTTCATAGTGAATGAACTGGGTCGCTTCCTCGTCCCTGTATGTGCTCTTCCCTGCTCTCCTTGGGTAAATGGAGACTCTCTGTTTCCTCCCAAGTCCACACATTCTGTCAGTGGCTTCTGGGGTCTTAAGTTTTGCTGAAAGCCTATCTCTTGCTGACAGTGTGTGGTTTGAGATGTGTCAGTCCCTTTCTTGTCACTCCTTTGTCCCATCAGAAAGAAGGGTAAGATGGTTGGATAAGATTTTGGGGCAAGTGTTTTCTCATGGTTATTCCTCAGAGCACTCTCAATCCTGAGATATTCACATTGGACTTTTCTTTAAAGCTGGCCTCATCTCAGACTGTGTGGGCTGGCACAGGCAGGACACAGGAACAACCACAAAACCATGGATCAAATGCAAACAGTAAATTTATTCCTGTTACTGCATGACCCAGGGGATCTCCACAGCAGCACCCAGGCAGAGGCACACTAGTGGGGATGCTGGCACTGCAGAGCTCGCTCCTTGCTAGCCAGAAAGGCGAAGAGAGAAGAAGATCTCTAACCTGCTGCTATTGCCTGTATATATCAGGGATTTTTGCAGTCATACTTTCCCACTGTGCTTTGATCTTCCCACAGCAGGGCAGGAATCTCAAGGATGTTTGATAAGATACCTCTGAGTCTCTCACAGGCCTGTGTTATATAAACACAGGCATCCTACCATCAAGCACACGGGGCTGAGCAACGATTAGTGTGATATGTCTGTTTTTCAGCACCCCAGCTGCAGGTCACTTGAGTGTGTTTGCAAAATCCTCCTCACCAATCTTCTGTTGTATTCTCCACAGTCCATGCTCAAAAGCTTTCTCGTGTGTGTGGTTTGTTTTCAGGTGATGTAGATGCACCATGATCTGTCCTGCTGGTGAGCTTGACTTGGGAGTTCAGATTGGTACTGAGCTGATGCATTCTGGACTTCAGCACATCCTCAAGGTAAGGAGCTGCTGTCTTCCTTGTTTACCCATGGAGTATGATGGTCCCATGACTGTAGCAGAGCTGTTTTCAGTGTGAAAACACTTAGAAATACTGTGTTTCTAGCAGACACAAAGCAAAGCTGATCTGAGATCTGCTGCGATGAAACATGCCATATTGCAGTCCTTTCAGTGTCTTTCTAGCTTCTCATGCTTGCAGGGACATTCAGCTTCAAGCATGGGTTTTTGTTAAACAGTGATAGTGCTTTTTACTGAAAACCTGGGATGATGATCTCTACTTGTGAATGTGCAGTTCGCCCTCCCTTCTGGGTCTGTTCCTGGCCTCAGCTATGTGATTATATCCTCTTCCTAGGGTCTTATTCAAACCTATAGGAATATTATCAATATACGTGATTCAGACCATGTTACTTAAAGGTTTACTGTGTACTTTGAGCCACTGTCATCTTCAAACAATTCACTTCAGAGGCCTTAGCCTGTAGCCTGGTTGATTCTTTCTCAATACTGTAACACCATCGGTTTTCATTGTGTGTTTTCAGGTGTGCTTATGTCCTCAACAGGAGTTGCAAACACTGGAGAAAAAGGACCTGAAACTGCAATTGGATATGTTTGGAGAATAGTGTGGGGAAGACTCTGAAGAGCCAAGGATTGGTCTAAATGGTACTCATACTCAAATGGGATATCCTTTTGCTATTTGCTGGGCTGTGGATGGGTGTGGGAAAGCTGACCTTCCTAGAGGGTTTCTCAGCTCAAACCCAGGTGAAAGGATGGCTGGAATTGCCATCTTTACCTGAACAGGAAACACACACATATCCAAGCCCTCTGTACTACCAGGCATGTGATTTCAGACAGAAATTTCCATAGTCCTCCTGTCTTTTGGAAAGGTAGGTATGTGCTGATGTGTGGGAGTAGGTTTTTTGGCAGGGGCAGGATGATGTGGTTAGCCCTTAAGTCAGAACCTGACATCTTCTTGTTATTGGACTGTAGTTAGAAAATTTTGCATGCTGGGTTGGACTCTGCCTAAAGAACAAGGGAGTGGGTAAGGGCAGGGCTGGTGCTGCACCCTGGGAGAGAGGCTGGTCTGCAGATGACACTTGGAACTTGTGAGTGACAGGAGACAGAACTGGCCCCAGTGATTTGATACTGCATGGGCCACAGCTTGTTGGGTGTCTCTGTTTAGACTGGCCTTTTAGGCAAGCTGTGGTTTGCCTCCTGGGCAGCACGATGCAGGTGACATTTCTGTGCAGCATATTAAGCTTTTTGGAGATGGTCCCCAGAGGACATGTGAAACAATGTCTGATTTGCAGAAATATAATTCTGGAGTATTTTCATCAGTCCCTTTCGGTGTGTGAATCTGAGGAGAACAGCAGTTTCTAACAGACCTTTCCCCTGCACAGAGAAAAGCCATTCCACAGCCATAGCATGGGATGTGCCTCAACACCCATACTGTGCTGTGGCTGCTCGCAGTTGTGACCCTGAAGGGTGACACGCTAACTAGTCACCAGTTCCCGAAGACATGCCATCCTCAAACTCTACTAACAAAACCTTGGGACATGGGTCTCGTTTCAGTCTGGAAAGTGGAGAAGGCAGCTGGTAGTTCAGACAGGGCTTTGGGATGGGATAGGCAAGAGTAAAGAAATGAGAAAAGAGCATCCTGCTGTCCTGCTAACTGTGGAGCACTCCTTGTGAGTGAAACATTTTCATCCCTGCCCCCAGGAAGTGGCACCTGGAATCTTTCCACTCCACAATCACTTCTGTTAAAATTCCTTGGAGCACTGATCTGTCTCATCACAAAGTAGAATGGGAATCTCAGGGTCATTTTTAATATAGGAAGTGAGAGGCTTTTAAGTTGCCTTGGAAGAAAGTCTCTGCTGTTTTCTGTGACATCCAGCCCAAGAGCTAAGGGTGGTGGCCTCCTAAGTGTTTTGGTGGCTGCAGGTGTGTCCAGTGCTGCTTGGCTACAGTACTGCAGCCAGTTTGCTGCTGTTCTCCCTTAAAACTATTCTTTAAAATAAGTCTGAACCTAAGTTAACAAATTTTCCATGTTCCTTCTTGTGCCTTTGCTTACAATCAGTAGGAAAGAAAACATTCTGAAATTCTCTGCTTTTCAAAGGTGTTTTGTTTCCCATTTTTGTTTCTTATTTTGTTATAAAGTAGCTTTGTGCTTTTCAGCTGTGAGGGTGACATGTAAGACAAATATTTTTAGGGGAAAGAGAGAATAGGAGTATTGAGCAGAAGATCCAAAAGTATATTCATGCAAGAGGTGGTGCTCACCCAAAGAGTGGGGTGACAGGCAGGGAGACAAAGCTCTCTGTGCTGTGGGACTGTGGTGAGTGACCTGTCAGCAGCCTCTCCTTGCCCATCGCTGCAGGCGGCAGAGACCTGATGAAGGGGGCTATGAGAAGGGCTGTGCCTCTGGTGTGTGCCTGGAGGGGACTCCTTCAATTAGAAGTCCTGCACCATTTCTTCCCCATCCAGTGTCAATAGCTCATTTGTAAGATCAGAGCCTGAAGAGCTTCCTTGCCTGGGGTAGGGGGTAGGGATGAGACAGGAGGCAGAGCACCCAAATGTCTGCCCAGAGACCTGCTTTTTCCTTGGTCCGTTCTTCATCAATCTCAGTGAAGTCTTCCATATCCTGCTCAACACAGTGAAGGATGCTGACACAGAACCAATTCTCCTCTAAATAATGCAACACCTTTTTCTAATCCCCAGTGACTGAGAAGCCAGGTGAAATTTCACCCTGGGCTGTGTGAGATGCATGTTTGCCTGTGGTCCCCACTGCACTACTTTTGTGCAAGTGGGAGCGGTTAATTGAAGGTTATCTACGTAACTCTGAATGTTCTTGTAGCTTTAGTTGGCTTCAACAGCAGAAGGAAGTAGCAAAATACTGCAAGGTAAGTAAATTCCTAATGGTGGGTCTTAGAAGAAACTGCTACAAATAAGGAAGAATTCAGATAAAAGCACAGAAGCACAGAATCAGCTAAAAGCATGGAATAGAGCACAGGTCCCATAGCCCAGCAAGAACAAGAAATCATTTTCCAGGTGTATTAGTTGCAGGGATTTTAGGATTAATGTTAGTCTGCTATTTCTGGTGAAACATTGGTATGGTTCCAATAAGAATCAAATGCTTAATGCCATTGTGTTTCAGGCTCAACTAAAGAAAAACCACAATTGCGTTCCATATAACTAAATAAATGATACTAAGAAAAGAGGAAAACTTCGTACAATAGGAGGTGAAAAACTTAGGAAATGACAGAGCATCTCTGAAAATGAAGTGTACTCAGATTAGGAGAGCCTGAAAAAAATAAAACCACTGTGAACTGACTGAACTGTTAGGGGCCATTCTTCAGAAGTCAGAGAAATTCCAAAATACTCAAAAACATTTTCAGAGAAATTATTTTTCAAGTTGGGAAAGCTGAGAATCTTCTTTTAGAGAAGAGAATGCACAGCTGAAGGGTAGGTGAGGATGCTTGCAGCAGTTATTGAAAGCTTAAAGTTACTTGAAATTAGTTCCAAAATGCAGTGGGTTGACCTTGGCTGGCCCCAGGTGCCCACCAAGCAGCTCCGTCACTCCCCTCCTCAGCAGGACAGGGTAGAGAAAATAAGATGAGGAACTCATGGGTCAAGATAAAGACAGTTTAATAAAGAAAAGTGAAGGCTGTGCCTGGCAGTAGAAGGAAAAAAAAAATTACCCTCTGCTTCCCATCAGTAGGTGAAGTCCGGCCACAGTC